TTACGGGGATCATTTCTTAACCGTTCATGCAACTCGCGACATCTATCGCGATAGCGACTGTATTTTCCCAGCATCTGCAAAAAGATCCTCGACCGGACATTGGCCCTACGAATATTCTCTACCTCCAACATGTACGTCTGCAAAACAAGAAGAACAGTCAAACTTATGCCCACTCCACAATAAAGGAGAAATAAACTGAATCCTGATATAACATACCCGTAAGCCCATCACAGCCACCTCGTCCATCACTTCGACATCCGAAACACTCCTCAGGGACTCGTTCTCGGCCTCAGAACACAGTAGGCTGAATTGTGGTACCAGGCTACCCCCTTGACTTAACATGTTCACGTCGGCAGGAATCTCAACGAGGCGGGCCGACCTCTCTGCGTTGACCACCGAGTGGGTAATGCCCTCCTCGAACATCCGAACGTCATCAGGGTCCAAGTCAGACTCAAACTCGTATTCATCGACCATTACACTCTTCCCCCTCTCCGCTGCTGAAAATGATAGCGGCGCACTCAAGGTCACGACGGTAGCGTTAGGGGAACGATCCTCCGCTACAACGAGATGTTCTGCGACATCCGCAGCGAGAACTCCCGATCGGGCTGTGGTAGCAGCAGAGTCCTCCTGGCCCTGGCTAACGAGAGCAGCTCCGACTATCCGCTCCCCTTCGGCGGTAGACGCTGCAGCAACACCTCCCTCTGGGTTTGCCGGGGGAGAATCCAAGTTGATCACTATCGGGGGAGCCATCTCGAAACCTACTCTCTGCCTCTTCAACGGCCCTTCTTCCTCCCCGGTGGACGGCGAGTCAGGTTGAGGACGGACGATGCCAGATGGGCCCTCATCCCGAGACATAGTCTGGGTGGGTGTGGTAAAAGCCACTGACTCCACCGACGCCGCCCTCGACGAAGGACGAGCTGTAGGTACCGCACTGATACGAGCGGATGCAGCCGGACGACAGAACGCCAACTGAGGGGTCCTGGCTCTGCGAACCCTCCCTAATCACGGCAAACAAGGCTCGAAAAGTAAGATCGATACAGAAGAAAGTTCAGAAAGTAAGGACGTTATCTCAACTGTAAGGACCCTGCGTCCGAATCACCAAAGAAAAGTCTCCCATGTACGAACTCCTGCTGTATGGGGAAGGATGGCCTCGACCCATTCCCGAATCCTCTCCAAAGGAGGTGGTGGTACCTTCTCGGCTGCAAAACATCGAGATGAATCAGTATATGCAACACAAGATATAGAGAGGAAGAGACCGAAACAGACTCTGTTAGCCAAGGGCGAAGACTTACGGGCAAAATTCCACACTACCGGAAACCCAGTCGGGTCCGCCACGAGGTGCTCGGTCCGCACATAGAGAAAATTATCAAAGAAACGGCGGTTGTTCCTGTCATCCATCTTGACCACCAAACCTTTCGACCACGAGGACGCGCGTGGATCATTGTGCCGCGAATCCTTTGAGGAGCAAATAGGCTGAGCACGTGCCTCAGAGTGACCTCACGACCGGCCAGCTCCGCGTACTTGATGAACATAAGGAAAAGCTTGTACAAATAAGGAGAAATTTGGGCAGGGCGCACCTCATAATAGCGACAGAAGTCGACCACCAACATTGGAAGCGGAAGTGAGTACCCCACAAGGAATGGATAAGCGTAGAACGAGCAGATCCCAGGACGGTCTATCTGGACCCTTTCGTCCTTTGTGGCCGGTACCATCTCGATGTAACTGGGAATGCCCCATCGCTCCCTCAACTCCTTTATTCCGACCTCCCCCATAAGGGGTTTAATATCTACATGCTCCATGCCCCCATCGGCGCTGAAGTCTACCACCGCCTTCCCCGGGCGGAACAAAATTTCCTCTACTGAAGGGACCTCCTCGCTTTCCATCAGGTCTGAATCCCCGTCTGCCGGAGCGTGATCCTCAGTCGCCGGCGGGATAGCCGGAAGATTATCGTGAGAGGAAGTTCTCGCCATCGTTAACCCAGAGGAAGAGAAGGGAACTCTGTTGGAGAGATAGAAAGGTTATAAGAATGCTGCAAGAGAAGAGGCAAAGAAAAAGCTCAAACTGACCAAGAGAGAGATATCCTAAAAATCCTCTCAAAGACAAGCGAAGAAATATGAGAGACAAATGACAAGGCTCATCCAATTTATAGGACACGAATTCTCTGAGCGCAAAAACCAACGGTCGCCACTAGGATCTAACCAGGCGTGAAACGATTCAGCTTCTCGGGAACATGCGCTACTATGACTACTTACACGAAGTGCTGCTCCATTTATCAACCGTCGTTTCAGCTTCGATACCGTCATAACGGTACAAGTGTATCAGAGAGACCCCTCCGGGCCGTTCCGAAAACTCATGACATGACTAAGGAATAATATGCACATCACTCTCAATATGATTACGTCACAAACATGATCCGTCCGTCGAGGTCGGTAGGATACGACCCTAACAGACGGAGGGACTAACTGTATTGGTCAAAATCTGACCACTCGACCACGGCGGTAATAACCCTGTCCCAACTACCCTGCAGTGGCGGCTAATGAACTCGACCTCGTCCGACCCGCACTGGTCACTAAACAAGCGTCGAGGTCGAGATCCCTTCATGAGGGGAAATCACCCCCTCGACCCAGGCGAGATAAGATATGAATGAGACATTTTCGACTATAAATAGAGGGCAGAAGACTCGAACCAGGGGGGGCTTCTCCATCATTTTCTTGATCATCCACCAACATAAGAACACCTAGAGAGAGAGACTCCGAGAGGGCCGATGGAGCCCAAAGGGAGAAAGAAAGGGAGATTCTTCACATTCAACAGTTCTCGAAGAAGACAACAAAATTGTAATTTCCTGGACCTCTCCAAGGGGAGGCAGGGTAAATTTCGATGATGAATGAAATCTCCCAATTATTATTTCTATTAAATCTTTCGTTTTACTCTTCTGTCTTTCGATCTAGTATTAATTATGATTGACTATGATTTACCCCTCCTTGTATATTGATTGATTTGCTTAAAAATTGTTCGATAACATTTTAAGTCAAACATATACCTTGTTCTTTATTTTAAACTACATTTTGCTTCGCAACTTTGACTTCTTTTTATTGCTTATTCAACTTTACCCACAAACTAATTTGAGGAGAAATGGAAGTAATAATTTTTGTTAAGTCACAAACCACACTTAGGTAATTTGACATTTATCCAACTTAGTACTGTTTTTTAAAACATGTCTTAGCTTATTGTGAATAAGAAAAAGGAAAGCTTTCCGAGAAAAACAATTATAAGAATGCAGTTATAGTGCTAAATCTGGAAGAGGAAACTGCATATCCCTATAAAATTTGAAGGAGAATAAGAAATAAAATAAACAAATATAATTGACGAGTCAAAAGTATGTGTGTCGTTGCCTGATTTTAAGGAGAGTGGGTGCCATTAATAATCTCTCTATATTAAAATATTTGAAAAATTAAATGAATTTTGACTAACATTTAAGATTCAATTGTCATTTTGATACGAGGAGTATTTTAACTTACTGTTGTTTTCATGTAACTTATGAATATTTAATCTTAGCTTCAAAAAAATAAATCTACTCTGTTTAATATCAAAAATTAATCAAATTAGTTTTAATAAACATTAGTTCCCAACAAGTTGAGATAGAGGAAATACTTCGAGCCCGTTTGGACATACAATTTTTTTTCTTTTTTTCCAAAAAAAAATTCACTTTTGTTCTAAATCAGCGTTTGTTCATAAAATTTCAATTTTTTCATTTGAAGATGTATTTTGGAGATTTTCAAAAATTTGAAAAACTCCAAAAAGCTGTTTTTCAAAATTTTCATTCAAATCACTCACAAAACTTCAAAAACAACTCAAACTAAAATTTATGTCCAAACACAACTTTAAGCTAGCGTTTGGCCATAGATCCCAAATTTATTTTGAAAATCTGATTTGGGTGAAGTTTGGTTTGAAGATGAAAATGTGTTTGGACATACGTTTTCAAAACATATTTTCCAACTTTATTTTGGAAAAACATGTATATAATTCCCAAGTTTTGGGATTTTGGCCCATTTTGGAATTTGAGATTTGAGATTTGGAATTTGGCCAAAATATGAGCAAAATTTATGGCCAAACATGAGTTTTGAAAACAAATTTCAAATCTATTTTGGCAAAACTTATGGCCAAACGGGGTAAATTTTAAATACCATATTCACTTAAAAAAAATTTTCAGCGCTTTTGGGAATATTACAATTCTTATGTCCAAACGCCTACTTCATCACCTAGAGGGAGCTGCAAAAATAGGAAAAAAAATTATAACAAAAGGATTTACCAGATAATGTGGTTCGGATCTCATAAGATAGGCTAATTAAATCTGGTTATAGTTATTTCAGTAGAGTTAGTGATTGCTTTGAGTTATAATGTTCGAATCTCGTCCCTCCGAAAATAGAAGTGAAAAGGTTATTAAAAAGATTCAGATTATATGCACTAATGGTATGATTTTTTATTATTCTATTATAGCAAATTGTTTACTTTAAAATTTTGATTTATTAATTGCATTTATTATGAATAGTTATCCGGTAGTTCATATTATAAAATTCTTTTTAACCCACCACTATTAATAATTACTCCCTCCGGTCCAAAATAAGTGATTTTTTTGCCTTTTTCTTGTGGTCCAAAATAAGTAATTTTTCCAGATTTCAAGAATGAATTAATTTTTTTTTTCCTACATTGTCCATGGAGTAAATAGTGTTGGAATATGTGTTAGGAGTATTTATGTGAGATAGTAAAAGTTAATATGGTCAATTCTATTGCTAACTAATACTAAAAGGTGAATTTCTTAATATGTATGAAAACACCCAAAAAATCACTTATTTTGGACCGGAGGGAGTATTAAGAAAGAAATAAAAATAAAGTAACAAAATCCACGGCTCTGATACGTAACGTTGGTAATACAGGCTGTTCTCTCGCACAAAAAAACCCCACAATTATCCACTCAAGTGTAACGGTCACTTGCACTTTTTTCAAAGTAATAAACCCCTTTTCCCCCCTTCCTGTCTTAGCCTCCCTACCAAATTTCTTGACCGTTTCAAACGCTCCTCCTCTGCTATCATCATGAGGATTCTTGGCTAATACCCCTTTGTTATTTCTCCACCATTCTTGGCTGGAACAGAATCCAAATCTGAAACCAAGATTTGAGTTCACAACAATTTTGGGTTGCTGCTTAAATGGGTTGTTTTCTTGGGTGTTTTGGTGGTGATAAGGACAAGAAACGTCGCAAACAGAGGCACAAAGTCATCCCTCCAGACCAAGTATGTTTTTCAGAATAACCCTTCTGGTTACTCTTTAGTTTTTCTATTTATGAAATTCTTGGAAAGTGAATTCCTGAAATTCTCTTGTGTTTGAGCAAGATTTCAGCTTTAGGTTATATTGTGGAAGTTGGTTTTACTGGGTTTAGGGTTAATTAAGCTGATGATGATGGACATTTCTACGCTAACAGTTTTTGGGCAAATGGATAGAGCTATGATTTTGTCTTTTAGAATCATTTAAACAAGTTAAAAATCAAATTTTACTCCAGATTCTTGATTAAGTGAGTGTCTTGGACTGACCCTTTATTACTTGCTATACTCCTAAGGTAGAAGAAAAATTAATTCTTGAAATTCTCTCCTATTTGATCTAAATTTGAGCTATAGTCAAGTTCAGTATATGGTTTTACTCCCATTAGGGTTAATTAAGTGGATAATCTGGAAATTTCTTGATTATGTATACTATTTGGTCCTGTAAGTTCTAATTAGTAGAGCTATGATTTTTATCTGTTTTTTCTTTTGGGATTCATATAAACAAAGTAAAAGCTAAAATTTTGCTGCAGAAACATGTCTGTAGGGATCCTCCAAAAAGCACCATCTCCACTGAACAAAGCATCATAGAGAAGGAACCCTTCTCTGAGAACTTGGTTGCGGAAGCACGGTGAGTTACTGCTTTTACTAGTGTCTTAAATTTATTATCTATCTTTTCCACTATATTTTACTAAGTTGAATGATATGGATTGTTGTGATGTAGAGATGATGGGTCTCGGAACTTGGTTGCAGAAGCACAGTGAGTTATTGACTTTATTTAGCACCTTTAGTTTGTTTTCTATATTTTCCACTACATTTTACCAAGTTAAATAATATGGATTTTTGTGATGCAGAGATAGGTCTGAGGAACAACTGAGCTTGAGTGCTAGAAAAAGAGTTACCTTTGATTCAAAGGTCACTACATATGATCCTGTTTCAATCTATGAAAGTACAGATTCTTTACGCGAAACCAAGAAAGCTGGTGAAAACGAAGAAGAGGAGGGTTGCCTTGCTAAATCAAGCCAGTCCAACTCTTCCTCTGAAGAGGGTTCAGCCATATCTAGTGTTGGATCATACCCTCCAAACCACAGGTATCAGAACTGCAGAGACAGTGATGATGAGGCTGAGGATTTTGGTGACAGTGACTTGGACGACGAATATGATCTCGATGATGAAGACTACGGCAGGGATTCCGATTGTGAAGGTGGACTTCAAGTGTGGTCTGAATCAGTGGTAACTGCATCAGTGGGATCTAAGGCTGATGATAAGTCCTTTCATCTAGTGAATGAAGAGGAGGAAGTGGATAGTCCTGCGATGTTTGGCGTGCCTGAGAAGGAAATGAGAAAGGGCGAAACAAAAGGATATGTAAGAGATAGAAGTGCTTATATCCATCCTGTGTTGAACCCTGTGGAAAACCTCAGTCAGTGGAAAACTATTAAATCTAAAGCAGCAGAACCCTTGAAGATGCTGCCACAGAAGGAAAATTTTATCTCAGAAGTAGAAGGGCCTCGTGCTTCATTCAGTTTAGAACCGACATTTAAGCAATCATCTTCATCTAGTTTCAGGCCAAAGCCTAAGGATCAAGAAATTGGAGTTGATGCTAGTCTCTCAAATTGGTTGGTTACACCTGACAATACTAAGAAGGCTGGCTCAGAAAAGAGCATGTCACAAGGTTCCAACTCTGTGATGAGCTTTGAAGACAGACCGATTTTAGGTGCCTTGACGGTTGAGGAGCTGAAACAGATGTCAGCGTCTTCCTCCCCGAGGAAATCACCCAGTCGGAGCCCTGATGATATGCCTATCATAGGAAGTGTTGGGACCTATTGGAATCCATCAGGGTCTGCAAAAGACTCCGGGTCAGCTTCTTCTTTTAAAGGCATACCAAACTCAACTAGCAAGTACAGAGAGGTAAGGTTGATATGAAGTTTTTTTCAGTAATGATACAACTTGCTTACACACAATCACTAGGTACTAAGAGGCTCTCATGACAATGCAGGATAAGAGAGTGAATTGGCATTCAACTCCATTTGAGGCAAGACTGGACAGAGCCTTGAAACAAGGTGCTGCATAAGCCTCTAAAGCTTGATTATTGTATATCTAAACTGGCACACCTGTTTGTAAGACATTTTTTATTTCTATATTGTGTGTTGCTTACATTTCTATACGGTTGCTGGATTTTGTTGTGTATGTGAATTTGAAAGTGGTATATGGGGAAACTGTTTGTTGTAATTCTTTTTTGTAACTATGATAAGTGGTTATGTACTGGATTTATCTATTCATCTTCGTCACTTTGTGTTTCTGTGGAATCATATCATCTCTAGGTCCTTGATACTGTGATTTATGAAATTAATAGCAACTAGATGATCACAGTGGTGAAGATCACAAGATTGTATCGCATAGTTGTTAACCAACTTTGCCTTACATGCGACTGCAGTAGAGATCTTTACTACGTAGAAGATTGTTCCTCACTTATGGTCATATTATACCTCCAAAAATCCGACTTGTATGGTTGATTAGGAGGACTTTAGCCTAATATAGAGCAACCATAGTTTTCTTCTCTTGTTCTTTGCTTTCTAGCCTTCCATTCTGTGGTTTCAAGATTTCGATATGAATACAGGACTAAATCAGTGTAATGTCCTTTAATATCATGTTGCTGCTTTTATATAATTTTAGCATTCTGAGTTTGAATTTCTCAACGTACATGAAGTATCAACGATATTTTCTGTGGATGTGCTGATTAATCTAAAAGTAAAAGTAGCTCGAGTTGCTCGAGTTGCTTCGGGGTCCAAAGATAGATAAAATAACTTTAGGAGATGATGGCTACGGTTAGATGCATCCTGCACTGGAATTGCAGAAATAAGCAACATAATGTATTTTTTTTGTTTTTTTCTTTCTGACTATACTTTTCTAGCACCTAATGCAGTGATTGTGTATCGCTCTGTCAGATACAGTTGGAAATTGAATGGATGATAGCTCACAAAGCTTCAATGGTCGTAAAATCAATGTCAATTACCGGGCGTAACGAAACAGTAAATGTTACTCACAGTAACGTTTTATACCTCTGTTTAGCCGTCAACTTAATTTGATATTCTGGAAATAATACTCTATTACCTAAAACGTTACTCCAACATACGTATAATCTATTTCTGAAAATGCTTAATATATTTCAATATATTGTATTATTTTTGTTATTTATTTTAAATAATGGATTATTTAGGTTAAAAAATCTCTTTGTAGCAACTAAACCCTAAAAGCTAAAATGCTTATGTGAAAACGAGAGGTTTCTGGTGTGAGATGATTCTTTAGGTACTTTTCTTGTTCAATATCCGAAATTTACTGGTCTGACTAATCCAAATTCATACTCAGATAGGTGCACTAAGGCGTCGTTTGGTAGCTGGTTAGAAGAAAGGTTATTCATGTATAAGGGGTAACATAACTTATACCATGTTTGGTAGGCAATAGTTATTTTGTATAAAATTTTGCATAACTAATACCATGTTTGGTTGACATTTTTCAATTATGCATAAATAATACATGTATAAGTTATGAGTCAATCTGTATATTATTTTATGCGGGGTAGAAGATGGAATAACTAATACATGTTTTAGTAATACATGGATAAAATACTGAAATGACAAATTTACCCCTATCACTTTACACATAAGGCTTCCTTATTTCTCTCCCAACCCGTCAACAGGTTTCACTTGCTTTCACTTGCCAACTATATACCTTGTCTTCTCTCATTTTTAAAGAACAAACTAGCAAAAGCAAACTGGAGAAGCCACTAGAAAATGGAAATACTAAAACTAAGAAGTGAAAATCAAATATGTCTAAACTTCACATAGTTCATTAGTATGACGAAGAAGTGAAAGTAACACCCAAAGTTCCTAACTAAATTGTTTCCTACATAAATGGAAAGAGAGAAAAAACAATGCAAAAGAAGGCCAGGGGTATAGTTGTAAACAAGCATTTTACTTTAAAATTTATATAATGTATATCAATTTCTAATACCAAACCAAACATTCAAAAAAATAATCTCTGCATAACTAATACCTGCATAACTAATCCCTGCATTACTTATCCCTGCATAACTAATCCCTACATAACTAATACCTGCATAACTCTAACCGGCAACCAAACGATCCCTAAGGGGATAAAGCAGGATTCCTTAGATACTTGAAGTGATGAGGTACTATATACACTTTTCTGTCCCTAATAACGTTCCTCCC